GTCTGAGCGCGTTCGTCTGGCGGCCTGGTCTTCAGGGTTTCCACCAGGGTGGATGCATGCGTCTGATAGCTCTTGTTCTTCCTCGAACCAAGTGGCCGGAAACATCGACGAGAGCGGAGCAGTGGAACTTACAGATTGTGCAGCGGATGAAAGAAGTCTCGGGCACCTGAAGGCTTGATGTGTCGCTAAGGATGTCTTAGACGAGTCAACCTTCTGGGCGGTAGGCCCAAAAAGCAAGAAATGTTCTCTCGGAATACCGAAAGCACGAGTTACCCAGCATAAACTCTTCTAAACAAACAGTCCACAGTCCGCCCACAGTCTCTTGGGTCTGGAAGGTGGCTTACCTTACTATGAGGCTACCTCAAGCACCCAAAATAATGCATCTTTTCATTCAGCCCCCCTCTGTTAACACCCGCAAGCAACCTCAGGCTGTCACTCGCAACCCACGCGGAACATCGCGGTCGCTCTACATCGAGGAACCTGGAGCTTTTGACTTGGGATTCCAAGGCCTCGATTTTCGGATTCAGGAGCTGAATCTTTTGCGTCACCGTGTAAATCAGCTCCTGAACGGAAGGCCAAAACCAGTTCTTCAGCAGCCGGAAACCAACCGCACCGAAGGCTGATACAATTGATACGGCAATTCAACTGAACATGGCTAAGTTCCGGAACTATCAAAAGCGTTGGCTTTGGCAAGACATGGTCCTAAGGAGTTTCCAACATATCAAAAAATCATTCCAAACTGAGGACTCCAGCAACTGGAAATCAAGGTTCAGTACTCCTGGCCTTTTGACCTGAGGCACTTGGACCAACCAAGCAGTTCAGCGATCCTGGATCTGGTCAGTCTTGGCGTTAAAAAGGCGTGTCTGCTTCGACAGCTTCCTTCGGCGTGAGTGGAGGTACTACAGCCAAGGACTAACGAGCAAATGGATGGAAAGGATCAAACGAGAACTCAGGTGTTGCCTATACACCCCTCAGGCTTCAATCCCCAAGGCCACTCAGACTAATTACTAAGTACCCTCTCGGAAATAATCACGGAAGTGGACAATGGCCCCTGGAAAAGAAAAAAGACTTTCTCCGACTATCTTGCCAAGAGTCTAGCTGGAGGGGTGCAGTTGAAAAGACAAAGGTAGAAATTCAACCCGTTACAGGGCTTTAAACTTTAAAACAAGCACACTTGTATTGTAAGGTGCTTCTCGAAAGTGGTGCTGAGTCTTGGCGATCAACAACTGATCTCGGCGCCTTTGATCTCGGCCGACCACCTGCTTGAGCCCTGAGAAGTTATGGAACTGAAGACACCATCCAGTGGACCCGCTATATAAATAACCAACAACACAATTATGGTCCACTATATATATAACCATCAATTGTGGACCCCCTTCGGATGTCCGATGATTCCACTGTGTCGCTCGTGTGGCGGACTCCTGGAAAGCTCTCCCTTCGTCCACCGGACCATCGGCTCCTCAGCTCGCCCACCTTCTGCAAGGTCTCATGGATCTCTGCACTGATCTCTGAGGACCATCGGTTCAACTGGGACCTCAAATCTCTTGAGCTCTTGCGATGTCCAGCTTGGTGTCTCAACCTCTGACTGCCTGAAAACACTCGTGACGTTCAATCCCTGGTCATCTTCCCTCAACTAACTGCTGCAGGAAAGATACCTGTCAAACAATACCTGTGGGGCGGGGTGAAGCTGGTCACAGTTCGGCCCGACGAGTGAGACTGGTGAATCCACTTGTGTTGGTCGTTCATGCATTTGAAGGGCCCGTTCACAAGCAGGTGCACTACCCCCAAACAGCAAGGATGGAGTTAACATCCTGCGGAACGGGCTCAGCCAAATGATAGAACTCAGTGTGCACAGCCCCGAGAGCCACCTCTTACAGTAACAGCCCTTAAACACAATCCATCAAGCCCACATTTACAGTAGGGACATCAACAACAAAACAACTCCCGAATCCTGCAAAAAGTACTTTATATATGGGCCATATGGGACCTTCCCCCTGTATCTCTCGGCCGCATCGGCGTTAAATCAGGTTCCCCAACGTTGCTTGAGGCGTCTCAAAGTTCAAGCCTGCGAACACTCCAGTGACTAGTTGGGTGGTTGGAAGATGCAGCCTTCCTCCTCCCTCCCACAGCTGATTGATTGCTCTGTCTTGTTTGCAACAAGCAGGCCATGCAATGAGCCTACACATGAGTTCACATGTGAGTACCTCAACTCAGTGCTCTGTGTGAGTATGTTTTGGGCATGGGTCAATCAAACACCGGACCCTTGGCTGACCACATAGGTAAACCTACCATGACTGGCTATAGCCTTATGGTTTGTTGCTGGAAATTGATGACTCAAAATGAAGATAATTGTAGACCAAGCTCATCCAGGCAGGGAAGAGCAACTCCATGAAATGGATATGTACAATCATATGTAATTATGTATTGTGGGCGTATGACAATTCCACCAGGCCGCTCCTCCCCAAAGCCAACCAACCCAGCCGAGCCCAGCTGACTGAATAGCCCCACACCTTGGTCCCACAATGAGGGCCTTGGTTCCGTCCACCACCCGGACCTCCTTGCCGCACCTCCGCCGCTGGTGGCAAAGTCCCGGAGGATGTGCCTGAATGGACTAGCAGACATGGTCCACCAGTGTTTGCGAGCAGGTTTTGACCCAGACCCATATGATGAGATCCAATTGCCCATTTCGAGCCGCACGGGAATCGTGCAAGCGCCCCAAAAGCTCTCCGCCCACGGAGGTCTTGGAAGGACGGTCCGAACTCGTACCGCAGGCAATTCGAGTCTCCCTGCGATACCTTTAGACAAAGGCAGGCCACCTTCCCCAACATGCCCCTTCGCAAAGGGGTGCGGCCCGGCCAGTAGTCTACTGATACTGAGTTCTTGGCAACACGGAAGGGCGTGGTTTGTGCTATCCAGGTGCAAACATTTGAAGCAAAACACATTTCTTAGCCGGCATCCCCAGAGCAGAAGCTGAATGAATCTGATAGACAGCACTTGAGAAGTTGTTTCAGAAAAAGACCCTCAGTACCCAAAGATTAATGTAAGACATGCTCTTCTTTGCACCTGGAACCCAGCCGCTGGACTTATTTGGATCCATTTATGTAGTGCGTACTTCGAAGGACTTGACACCAACTCCTGTGCCATTCATTACCATCAGCACCGTGCAACGACTCGCGCGGGACTCACGCCTGAACTCGTCTGTCCTATTGACCACCTCAGAGGACATCGACCGCGTTGCACGTGAGGCATGGACACGTTACACGTGGGGCACCCGTAGCGCCAGGCTGAACTCACTGCGTCAGCCAATTGCGATTACATATCCCCCATGCTTCAGGATGCTTCAGGCGTGAAGCCCACTACAGCCCGGTCAGTTGACTTTGAGTCTTGTGGTATTCGATGGGTCCCCTAAACACTACCGCCCCAGTCACATTTGTTGGGGTTGCCTAACCCACGGGAACATCCTGTCATGAACACCTCGTCCATCGCTCCCATCATCAAATCCACCCATCTGCTACTGCCAAGCAACGCCCATGACCGTGCGTCGGTCCAAACGCGGCGGGAAACCCCGCGCCGGTCCAACGATCAACGGATCTGACCTTGCAGGACGGCAAACGGCTCGCGTTTAGGCGGTTGGATGTGTTTGGAGGGATGCCACGGCAGTCTGACAAGCATCCGGGCAGTGGCAAAATATGGCACAATGCCTTGGCAAAATTGGTGAACATCACCAGTAGTGTCCTTGTAGAATTCACCCACAGCCAAGTGGCCTATTGGATTGGCGGGTAAGCCAACAATGTCCAAATTGATGCCCAAAGGGGAGATGACTGTGGGCTGAACCGATTGAAACAACTCCAGAGCCCCTCTGACCCCGTGTGGGATCTTATATGCGGAATCTGGCTGTGGCGGTTTTTTCTGCGAGAGTTTGTTAGTTTGTTGCCTTGGCCTTGGCTTCCCAAGTTTTTTTCAGCGGCAGGACTTGTTGACCTTTCCGGTGGTATCCAGCTTTGGGCTTTTCCTCTGCCTGAACCCACCCCCGCGGGTGCGCGCAGAGGAAGCCCAAACTTGGTTCCCCGGCAGAACCGCCGGATCAAAGCCACCAGGGCCAGGCGCCACGGGTAGGTGGGCGGCCGAAACGGCAGGTACAAGCAATGGGTGATGAGAATGAGGGGTGAAAACGACACATGGACTGGAGCTGTGAAACGTCACACCTGCCGAAGTGCGTTTTCCGCCTTTCCTTCTGGAAGTTGAAGTGCCCGGAATTCTTCAGAACTGCGCCCCTCACCCACTTGTTGATCATCCAATATGAACCCCAGGTGCTGTCAAGTCAGTGAAAGCATTTGTAAAGGCAAACCTTTGAAAGACCTCCTATATAAGATCACAATGGTACAGAGCGGAAAATGTTCAATGCTCGGGGGGAAGCGTTGGATGGGCCTGCCCTCGTCAACCGTGAGCTATCCCAATGCTCCTGGCGCACCTCCCGTCTCCTCCGCTACTTCCTTTTTCGTCCACGGAAAAGCCGAGCCCTTTGTCGGTACCTATGACTATGACAGGTCATCCAAGCTGAGTGATGCAAAGCTGGCAGGTCATGTTGTCCACAACCAAACTTTATACTCGCAGGCTGCTCGTAGGCGCCTCCTTCCCTAACTTGTTGTACAAACGTGCATGCACACAAACATGTCGCCGAACGAAACCAAAATAAATAGCAGGAAGACATCTTGGATCCTGCACTTCCCACCACTGTCGCCTACCCAGAAGCCAGGAATCATGGATCTGGGCAAGGTCCGATTCAGATGCCTTCTGCTGCCTAAAAGGCACATTCAAATCATTCAAGATGTCGGGTTTCCTTCCTCTTGTCCACATCCAATCTTATAGAAGTCTAAGAGCTCAGGAAACGTTCCAAACCTCATCATGTCTCATCCACAACTGTACCTTTTCCATCCTTTTTCCCTAGTCTTTGCCCCAGACCCCGCCGTCTTTCCGCCGGCCACCGCTCTCCACCGCTTTCAGCGCGCCAGCTGCTCCGCGCGGCTCCGCGCCGCGAAGGCCGCGAAGCCGCGGCGGCGGGCCTTGGAACGAGCGGGAAACACACCCCGTGTCTGCCAGAGGCTGCGAGCAGTTCTTGTTTGTTTGTTGTTGTGTGTGTGTGTGTCAACCCCTGTTCCAAAGGGTGCTGCTTCGCTTCCTTCTCAACTTACATGCAGGGGGGCAACGGCCAGTCTTCTTACGTTGCCCAACGAAGCTACAGAAGACTGGTGGAAGCGTTCAGGGACGCCTGAATATGTACCTGCCACGAAACTGTTGATCACGCTGTCCACTTTTTCCTTCTTGTTTCCATGGTGGTTCATGATACCTTCCCCCAAACCATTCCGCTTTCTCACGCAGCTGAATTGTACAGAGGCTCGCCACCGCACACCTGTCGAAACATTGTTCAACCATACTGTTCTTGCTGACCCATACGCCTTTCCGTTCCATCACCTTCCTTCTCATCGTGGGAATTGAGTTAACAGCAAACCAATGTCAGAGTGTGACCCGCTCAGCCGTCCCACTTGGGTGCTGGGTGTGGTCCTCCGCAAGGAGGCGCTGTTATCATTCCGGAAATCGTGTAACTGCTTTCTTTCAGGAAATCTCACCACCTCAAATCCACGTGAATGCTCTCACCAACCCTGAATTCTCTGCTTTTAGAGCCGCCGGGCTTTTACGGATATGACAGCCACCGGGCTTAAAAACGTAATTCACCCCACTGGAGGCAGGTTTCCCAACCCCCCCCCCCACCGTGTTCTACTCCCTACCTAATTGTGTGTCGGTGCCTTTCCCTCTGTTGTCCCTTTCTAGTCTACTCTACCCGGGCGGTTTAAGACTAAAGTCCCGCTCCCTAACTATTGCACTGTAATTCGTTTCTGCTGAGTAGTCAGTAACCCTAGAGTGCTAAGTTTTCAGACACACACACACACACGTACACACACACATGGACATACACCCCCTCCCTGCCCCCCCTTTCCTTCTTGCGCTTTTTGTCGTTTGTTGGTTGGGCTTTCTCTCAGGCTTTTTAGGTTGTTCTTGAGGCTCGTTTCCCTACCCCAGTCAAGGGCTGAGTATTCATTTTTCTTTCTTTTCTACGCCTATCTTTCTCTCTTGCCCTCTTAGCGCTGCTCTTTCTGTGTTTCTTTCTTTTGTTTCTAAGGCTTTTTAGGTATCTATTCAGGCTTTCCACGCACGCGCCGCCAAGCGGCACCGTGTGTGTGTCAACTCCTGTTCCAAAGGGTGCTGCTTCGCTTCCTTCTCAACTTTACATGCAGGGGGGCAACGGCCAGTCTTCTTACGTTGCCCAACGAAGCTACAGAAGACTGGTGGAAGCATTCAGGGACGCCTGAATGTGTACCTGCCACGAAACTGTTGATCACGCTGTCCACTTTTTCCTTCTTGTTTCCATGGTGGTTCATGATACCTTCCCCCAAACCATTCCACTTTCAGAAAGCAGTTGAATTGTACAGAGGCTCGCCACCGCACACCTGTCGAAACATTGTTCAACCATACTGTTCTTGCTGACCCATACGCCTTTCCGTTCCATCACCTTCCTTCTCATCGTGGGAATTGAGTTAACTGCAAGCCAATGTCAGAGTGTGTTCATATGTTTGTATTTTTTGCGTTTGGAACTTCCTTCCTAATTAGTGAGGAATTGCTATACTGTACCTATCAAATCTTTTAGAAAGAACCACCAAAGAGCATTCCAAAGTATTGGGCAAACGACACATGGAAATGGACAATGAGCCTTGACCTCTGGGAAAACTTTTGCCGCAAGAGGGCCAGGGCCCTTCCTGTCAACTATCAGTTCCCGTTTGCAGTCATGGAAGGCGGCACACCTCACCTGATCAAATTGATCAAAGCACTGCATCCTGCAAATGCATGACTCCCAATCAGGCTTAGAAACCCGGGGATGGTCACACATTCCATTATGCTCTGCAAGGGTTGCATCCCGAATCTTTGTCACTGAGTTGGGCATGGTCATGCTGGCCAACGAGCTGCAGTGCTGCCATCTCTAAAGTTTTCATCCTCATTCTCGAAGCCCTGGCTGGACTTGATCTACCTCAAACAGCTGAATCAACTACCTGATGGCCCATTCGCTACATTTCGCTACCGCAACAGGTGCCACGTCACACGCGACAGGTGCCCCAGCGCCCCGTGGGAAGGCGTCGGCCTCATCGAAAGGATTCGCCTTGCAGGCCCGGAATTTCCGTGCCTAAAAGGAGAGGCGTCCACTGACGTTCAATCCTGACGTCCAGGTCAAAAGAAACTCATGTCTCAGCCTGCTATCTATGTCGTCCATCCACCTGTTCTTAGCTTGTTGTCGATATCGACCTAGTTCACACACACGGCCTCTCCCAGCGGGATCAGCTCGCTGTCACGTTGCGTCTGTGCCTCAGCTGGTGCACCTACAAGCCAACTACTCCTTCGTGCTCCCCATCCACCCCCCACTCTCCCTGGGTGCTTTTTGAACTCTTGGGATGATGTGCCTACTCTTGAGGTCTTCAATATTTTGCGGGGTGGGTGAGTAAGTATGGTCCTTGAGTTTCTTGAACACATGGGTGACCATAGGGGCTGCCAGGAGTGATGGGAGTGAAGAACAGGAGGAGGTCCGATCTCTAGCGTCCTTGTTCCTAATAGCTTCTTGTTACTACTAGTAAGGCACTTGTTTCT